AGTATATATGTAGTTATGGAAGTAAATAAAATCTTAAGTGCTGGGCGAATCTTAAAGAAGTCCATAGGTTAATTTTTTGCCTTAGAGGCAAATTGTTATGTTGGAACGTGATTATTTCGGCTCGATTTGGGAGACTCGTGTGGTACGTAAGCAAGCCGAGTAGTGATGAAATATTCCAAACACCGTCCTAAGATAGGTATTAGAATGATGGGCATTGCAGACTAGTCGGCAATTGGAAAACCGATTAGTCGGATAGTCGGTGTAGGCAAACATTATAGCCGGTCCATCTCTAATATGAACTAATTAATAACTGAATTTGAATATATTAATAAACTACTAATTGACCTTTGTATTCTTAAACTGTCGAATGATACCGTAACCGTATGTGAGTACGGACCGTAACACAGTTCTTAATTCCATTCCAACCATTCGAGTTCATGGAATATTGATATAAAGAGTAGGTACGTACGCTCTCTTCTGTTACATAATTTTTGGTTTGGGCAGAAACACAATAGGAGAGCGGCGTCGTATGGATTGTGTGTGTTTACGATTGCAAATGCAGGTGTGCCTTCAAATATACATTGGAGCTTAAGATAATACCTACGAGGTAGGGTATAGCGGAGTTTCCTTACAGGAGACCACAGTAAAATAACACTACCTTTTGGTGGTGTTGTGTTTCTGTCGTTGAGTAAAGTTCCAGGGCTCCACGGGGTAGGGGATTGGGTCAGGGTAGGCAGCGGCGAGAGTGATATTTTTTGTATCGCAAGCGTCTATAAGCTGTGGTGACCGCTTACCATCAAGCGAGACATACGCTTGTTTGCCACCACTTTAACATTAAAAAAAATGATTACCCATCCGATGCTACCGATTGCGAAAGTAGCTTAACATCCACAATTGCGAACCAAACTCAATAACCAACAAGTCACTGCGCCATCGAGCTCTACAGAGCACCCTTATAAGCGTAATCGCTATATATTTGTTATCTGCAGATCTTAACTCGCTTAAAAGAGCATGATACAAGCTTATCTCCTGATCTTTAAACGGCTTTTATTTTCAATTAAGGCCCAATTCTGATATCGCAGATTTTAAGTGCACAAAGAGTGGATCTCGCGATACTGACGCCCCCGCCTTTTTACTTTAAAGATTTACGAAATATTTTTTGAAAGGGAATTAATTTTCTTGCTCTCTGTTAATTTTTTTGGCATCAGTTGCATAGATTGGCAAAATATTTATGAAATGATTTAGTAATTATCTCAGTTTCGGTAAATGTATACTTACGGCAATTTCTGTCTTGTTATTAACACTTTCTTCTTCTTCTTTTTTATAGATAGATCAGAAAAAATACTCCACTTGGATTGATGATTCGAACTCGCATCTTCTATAAGGAAGGCGAAAGATACGCCCAGATATCGAAAGATGTAGGTTCGAATCCCCTTGACAACGGCTAACTAAAGCCGAGGTCTGAATCTCAGAAACCCTCTAGTTGAGCCGACCCTCAAGTTCGAGTAGTCTAGAGGCTCGAGACGGAGAGGAGATGCTTTCCGCCTGAAATACCTCTAATCGCAGCACTCGCCAATTCTTCTCGGCTTGCGGTACCCTTAGGGTCTTGCCGCCCAAAACCAAACGCTGCAAAGGTCATCTACGACCAAAAGCGTACACACTCAAAAAAAAGGAGTGAATGAATTTTTATTGCAGTAATATTGTCTTTAGATTCGGACATCTAGCAGTTAAATGCTTAAAATAAAAATTAAAGAATATTTATTTTAAAAACTGCTGCCAAATACAAATAGCAAATACGAACAGCCATATAAAATGCTTGCATTAAACAAAGTTGAAATAACACTGAGATCTTACCTCTTTACGGTTATTGGTTGCTGAGCGCGACGATTCTTTTATTACACATATTACGAGTACGTGGTGTCTAGACGGAGCGGAATTCACTGAATTGGCCGCGTGCCCAACACATTGGCCGTCTTGTGTAATGGCGTAAAAACTATGAGTATAACACTAGTTTTTAGGGTACCTTTTCCGAAGACTCTAAACCCTATTACGCTTAAGAGAGGTAGGCCAAAGCGGATTTGCCGCTTGAATTGGAGCGAGCGTCAAAAACCGCCTATACTTGTTGGCTAATCGAAGTATATCCAACATATACTTTACAACCTGGGATCCTTTAAAAGAGGCGTGAAGAAGCAACATGCAGGCCGGCAGGGTGAGAATGGCTGGTGTGGCAGGTAGAACTGCTGTATCAGCTATCTTCGCGTCTGGACTTCACCTTCACTTAACATCAGGTGGGGTGGAGTATTTGTCGGACCTATGTATAAAAAAGACAGCATATTTGTATTGTCTTGTCCTCGCTCGGTGTCGCTTGCTTGAGTAAAGGGAAGCGCCAACGGGTATCCTCATTATATATCATATCATAACCTCATTTGGTGTCGCTTGTCGACACTCACTGTCGCTTGCCAACTCGCTTTATCTTAAGAGTAATTTTTTGATTCATTGACTACATTTTTTGGTTTATTAAGAGATAACAAATGTTAAGTATATAATTGAGTTTTCTCTAATTATGTTGAAAAGTAACTTAACTAAGTGTTCCTTGACCTGCCACTTGACTTCGTTGGAGACTAATTAGTCTGGCCTACTAATAAATGGTTATGGAAGGGATTTACTTGGTTTTCTGCAGCGACGATAGCAACCACTATTTTCACCTTAGATTTTCACTCCACTAGTAACAGTCGCTGTCAAAATCAACCAAAAATCTACAAAGACGAAGGGAGTCAAAGTTTAGAAGCGGACTCCAGCCCGTGACGTCGACTTCTGAGTAAAAATTGCACCAAGACGTGAAGTCGTGCGACATTTCAAATGAATATAATCTCTGTAATGTTTTGATTATTGGAAAGAAGAAAATATACGTGTCAAATACTTTTTGATAATCTATCTGATAGACGAAGAAATACATTTAGTCATCCCTATTATATAGCAGACAATGTATGGTAAATCAGCTTTCTCCTTTAACCGACGATAATTCTTAAGAATGACGTTGTTGATGCCAAAAAAATAAACTATTAAGTGGAGCGGTGTAAATATGACCTAGTTTAAATGAGTCCACACTGAGTAAAAATAGCAATATACTGTTGTAGAAATTCTTTGTTAAAGTGCTGTCACACTGCAGTCGAGTTTTTTTTTATATAAAAAGGTCGGCAAATAAGCATTTGGCCCGCCTAAAGGTAAGCGGCCACCATAGCTTATAGACGCTTGCGATGTCAAAAATATCACTCGCGCCATTGCCTACCCTGACACACAATCTGCTACCCTGGAACCTTACTCACCAACAGAAACACAAAACCACCAATAGGTAGTGTCATTTTACTGTGGTCCTCAGTAAGGTGGAAGTTACTTCCCCAGGCCGGCGCTCCAATTCGAGCGGAACATCCGCTATGCCCTACTTGTCTTAGGCCGTATACAGAAAGAAAGCCGAAAGCCGATCGGCGCCTATCAGCGCCGATCGGCGCTTATCGGCGCCTATTGGCGCTGATCCTTTTTCTATGGACCGGCGCCGATCGGCGCCTATAAGCGCCGACACGCGCTGGTCCGAATAATAAATAATTTGTATTTGAATTATTATCCTTACATTAAATCAATCTAAGTTATAATCTTTTTATAAATCTAATAACTTTATCTTTTATTAACTAAGCGCTAAAATTATTTGTTTCGTACTCACCGAATGGTGACAACAAGTCTTTCTTCTGGAAGGATTGGTTGTTTATGCCAATTGCCCCAATTTTTCAACAAACGGTTTTTCACTAAATCCAAAATGTAATAAAATGTTTCTTGAATCATTCTTGTATATGTATAAAATCTTTGTTCATCAAATTTTTTTTTTTTTACAAATAAATGATGGTATTCTCCGAAACATTTCCTTTCTCTATTTATAGGATGTATAGCTGTTTTTCGCATTTATAAATAAACATTTTCTAACAAAACCAAATCATCGTCCGATGAGTCCGACATTTTGCTTGATCTACTTTAATCGGCTTCCTTTATGTAGGAAGGATCGGCGCCGATAAGCGCCGATCGGCTTTCGGCTTTCTTTCTGTATACGGCCTTAGTATCGGATATTTGTAGTGTTCAATAAGTTCCAAATATTCAAAAGGCTCCGTGCTTCGGAAGGCAGGTTAAGCCATTGGTCCCAGCTGTATCTGCAGTCAATAGCGCCCACTAATCCGCACTGAGCCCGCGTGGTGAGTCATGGCCCAATTTCTGTATTGCATCCATAGGGAAGGCCTGTGCCCCAGCTGTGGGGACATTAATGAGCTGATGATGATAACGTACGTAAACCCCATATCATTGTGTCAGCAGCAGCCACAGTGCCATTCGACTGAGATATTCATAGTGGTTTGTGTGTCGCCTACTCGAGAGGGGTTCGAATCCCGGTGGGGGTAGATGTTTGTGTGATGAATACGAGCATGTGTGCTTCAGTAATGGATATTTAAAAATGTATTTCTATACAAATACTCTTATATATGTATCAGTATAAATGTATTTTATCCGTTACCCTAGTATCCCATAACACAAGCCTATAGTGCTTAATTGATGTGAATGTTGGAAATATTTATTTATTTATCGTTAAAATTAAATAAATATATTTCAATGGTACACTTTAATTATTTCGCAACATTTCTTTTCGTTTATCTTTAAATTATTTTTCTACCATATCAGCATCGGAATTTTGTCGAAACTATTTTAATCTTCCCATCTGACATCACTAACAATTTAACTTTAATAAAATATTCGTAAACGTTTTTCGTATGAATACAAAACTGTAAATTGTATGTGTTTCACACAGCGCAGTATTTAATTCGTTTTATTTATGTAAATCCATTTGTTTGTCCACAGAGCCTGCAACGGATTGCAACGAGCGGCCATTGAGTGATTAAGTGATAATTTTAAAATTCACAACACAGTTTAAAAAATACGTTTAACGTATGACAATTAAGCATATAAAATTAATTAAGTTAACATCGAAAAAATAAATAAAGTGTAGTAGGTAGTGTTAAGTGCTACAGAATTGTGCAAACGCTTTAGTGCCGGAAACATATATGTGCTTACAAACTAGTGCTTTATTTAAATTGTGCAAACATGTTAGTGCCTAAACATAATTTTGCAAACAAACTAGTGCCGGGAACATAATTGTGCAAACATACTAGTACCAAAAGCATAATTGTGCCGCAAAGAAATTCGTGCAAATTAGTGCCAGCAGTGTTGAAGTGTGAACTAGTGGGCGTTTTGGCAGCAGTAGCGTTGAACTGCAGTTGGGAACCGGTGGCGGAGAAGAGATGTGCCAGTAGCCGGTGGCATTGATGGTGTTGCCACTGTCAATGTGGGCTAACGCCCCCGGCCGGCAGGTCAATGACATCGCCGGCACTAGTCGTGCTGTTCCTGGCACTTGGTGAGTTGATCTTCTTTTGTCATAATTTGTTCGTTGTAAGATTGAAGTTTCTTTGGCAATAGGCCTTTTGACAAGTTTTTGAAAACGTTTATTATGTTGTATTTTTGACCTCACAAGGGGGAGGGAGGGGGTCAACGAAGTGTGACATCGTGTGACAAGGGGGTGGGTGGGGTCCTAAATTTCGTGACGTCACATTTCGAAATCTATTATAATCATGAAATTCGTGTGACGTAATTTATGGATGACCCCTTACTTTGTAGCTTGGCTTATTGATGTGAGTGTTGAACATATTTATTTAATACACAATGTACTATAAACATATATCGTAATAACGCATCCGTAATTATCGACCGATTAAAACGCGCGATTGAGGCTTTATTTTATTTCGGACGCTACTTTGTTTTTCACGAAAGAATTATTATTATACTTTAACAAGCAAACAAAGAAAATAGGTTAGAGATCCTTTTTTTCGGGCATATAGTTTTCCTTCTTCCAACGACCGCGCTAACACCTTCAAATACGTCTAGGGCACGCCCAAAGCTCGTTATTTTTAGGAAAACAAACTAAAATGTCTACTTTAGTAACGTAAAAGCACAAACTATCGCGCGAGATGAAAGGTGACGGCAGTATATTACCTAAACCTTTGTCACGCCCATGAAGCTTTTATAAAGTTACGTGTATTTTGAAAGGAAAGGACAATGGGGATAAAACACCCAGCTCTGCCAACAATGTAATTAGTATGAATCGAAAGGTCTATAAAAAAATTAATTTTTTTATTATGACACCGTAAAAAAATATCTCGGTAGTCGAAAGATATGACATAAAGTAACTTCATTTTACACGGACAAGGCAGCAGACGGGACTCGAACCCGCAACCTTCGCTATCCGGGCGAATGCACTGACCATTATGCTACCGCGGCCCTAATGGCCGTGTCGAATTCTTTCTAAACTTTTTTAAGCTCAAGGCAGCGCCATCTCTTCGCATTGTAGGTAACCCACAATGTCAAATGAATACCTTTACAGGTTTTAAACATTTGAAAGAAGAAAGAGCAATTATAGTATCTAGTAATATATTCTTTCGATTAAAACATCGAGTTACATGCTTAAAAATGAAAATTAATACTTCATTTTATGTAACTATCCTAACCTAATCATAATAATATTGCATATACATAATAATAGTAATATACGACAAAGCCTGCCGGCCATTCTGCGCTTGCACTTACTGAGACACACCAAAACGGTTTACGGGGTAGGAGTACGGGGGTTGAAGATTAGTAGTCAACAACTAGTCGACTCATATGCAGTCCTTCGTCTTACTTCATTGTGATTGTTCGCTTCCTGACTGATTTTTAACTAACACGCTATAGATATTGGAACACTATTATTGGTTTTGTGAATTGGTATGGATGAACTGGAATCATATTTTCACCGAGGTGTGGTCGCTCCGTAGAAGACAATCTACTGTAACGGACAGATTGTTTAAAAACAATCCAACCCACGCGGGGATTTTTGGATTTACTCTAGCGCGGCAGAATAACAGAAGGGGCACTGCACCTTGTGAAGTACTCCCATAACTCCTCTATGTACTCGTAGGGTCGAACTAACTAAATTTAATTCCCTTGTTTCATTAATGTTCGTTTCTTATAGTACTTATTTCTATTTAACTTAATATTATTAAGGATTGGAATTTGGTGCGCTGTGGCACAGATGATCATGACCATTACAACTTTCAAACAAATGCGGTTCAAGCGCCTGCGGCTGACCGCAGTGCTGCCGGCGGTCGCGGCAGCATGCCGCGGCTGCACACTGCATAGAACCATGCCTCAGTCACTCCAATACCTTCGACCGAGACAGAATGTCGGACAAAGCTACCGATAATTTACTAATGTGTCTTGTGTTGACGACTTGTTGTTACTATATTATGTTAAAAAAAGATAACACCTGATCGTTTATTTAAAATTCGAACCGAGGAAGGAACGTATTCTAATCTGATTAAAAAACATATGATTGGTGCAGAGGAAAAGTGTCGAAAGTATTGTCGTTTAAATAAAAATTAGTTTGACTTGGTGCTCAGTTTTATTAGTGAAGAAATCCAACCGAAAATGCGGCACGCTATTACTGCGGAGAATGAACATTTTCTTCTTTCATAGTGGCCATAGAATACCAATATTTTTATTAGTATATTAGTAATTTGGTAAAACATTTTGAAATAAACTTTTTCTTTAATTTTTTTTTCCAGAGTTAATGTTTTTTTTTTTTGTGGTTTTGCTATTTTTCATCTAATTTTGAGTTGATTCTTAACAAACTGATATAATTTCTGTGAATCTGTTTTCATATAACTTTATCTTAAAATATGTCCATAAGTTTTAATGACAATTCTTGTATAATATCAACTTTTCGAAATCGAGAAGCGAAAATCATTAAGTTCAGAAACTTTGCTCATAAAGTGGTACAATCATGACCATATCAGTGAATACACTTAAACTTCAAATATAGCTCTTGTTCGTACTTAATGAGAAGCATAATTCAAATCTCCTACCAGTATGAGTCTTCAAATTAATATTCAAGGATAAACATAATGCTTTGTATACCTTTTCGCGAGCAATAGAAATTTTATGAATATTCTCTGTAGCTTACGCACGCCGGAACAAACAACATTGCTTTTAATGATCAACATAATATTATATTAATAACTCCTCAGTTTTTATCAAGCTGTATAATTAAATTAATTATAATAAGTGTTGGTCTTAACTAACAAAGGCTACATAATTAATTGTTTGGCGGATCCGGTGTATACAGATAGCACTTGAGCGTTTTTCCCGTGTGTACTTAGTCAGGTGTGTACCGACCACAAGCACAAAACGCCGCCACCGGCATATTTGTTGTAGTTTTCATACATTTTATATGGACTCGCCACACACGGTACGCCGGTGGCCGCCACACGCTACAAATCGTCGTGGCTCGCTTCTTGTGGCCGCACCGGCCAGTTAATGCGCCGATACAAAACGCCGCCACACGTCACTCGCGCGATTCCCCACCCCTCTGTCCCTTAGTGTCGCCGCACACGGGCCACACGCCACAGCCACAAACGCCGCCACGAGAAGCTAGAAGCGGCTACTAAAGTGACTGAAGCGCGCGACATTGGACGACTAAGGTAAGGGATAGAGGGGTGGGGAATCGCGCGAGTGACGTGTGGCGGCATTTTGTATCGGCGCATTAAGTGGCCGATGCAGGCCACAAGAAGCGAGCAACGACGACTTGTAGCGTGTGGCGGCCACCGGCGTACCGTGTGTGGCGAGTCCATATAAAATGTATGAAAACTACAAGAATTATGCCGGTGGCGGCGTTTTGTGGTTGTGGTCGGTGCCCCGTGTGCGGCGACTTAGTGGTTATAAAACAACAAATACAAACAGTAGAAAACAAAACCTACAATTACTTATTTGAGGTGAGACTAGTTACATAATAAAAAAATATTTTGTTCAATGCTCGGAAAGATAGATGACAAATATCGGATTTTTCGTTACACTTCTCCATCATACGACTTAGGGGTACTGTCTTGGTTCGGAAAAACGGTTTTGTCAAAGGCAAAATTGGATGACGTAGAATTCTTCTGGGTACTGTGAGATGTATTTCAGCAAGCATGACAGGTATATTAATGTTTCCATTAACCAACTTTTGAAGCAAGAGATGTCGGTATATATTCTTCGTTTTTCTAGAGTGTCAACTTAGATTATACCTAATCCAGCGTCATATTTATGTTACTGTACGTTACGTTTTCGAGTGCCAACATATTATACAAAAACGAAATATCACGTTTACAATATTATTAAGATTCTTCGCTTTTCCAGATACAAATACTCATCATCTATGTAAACCAAGATTAAATTAGTTCTTACTATGCAAGCTTGCTCCAATTAATGGTTAAACGCGAGCCATTTATTAAATTAATCCTATACTAATATTATAAATGTGAAAGTTTGTTTGTTTATTACTCAATCAAGCCAACACTACTGAATGGACTGGTGTGAAATTTGGTACGCATATAGTTTATGACCTGAATTGAGACATAGGATTTTATTTTTGTATATTGGGGCTATGCAGTCATAATGGGACTGTAGTTACTGCGACCTATTAGATCTATTATGACTCGCCACCAAGTTAAAGTATCTCTTTTAGCCCGACAGCTTCCAAGAAGCTCAAAACATTTCAAGCTTTTAGAGATTTGATTTCCTCTGGGCGTATTATATGTCGTCCCAAATGAATACTACGTTTGTGGATGAGAGGCCCACATTCACACAGAAGTTGTTTTGATATTTCACGCTCCTGGTTTCAGTATCTGCAAACATGAGTGTCACTCAATTTCATATGAAATTGGTGTCTGTTGAGTTTGTAGTGTCCAGTTAAGGCTCTTACGATGGCACAGATGTTCGGCCTGCTAAGTTATATTAACTCACTCAACAATCCGTTTTTTCGAGTATCCCTCTATAAGTGATTTAGCGTGCTCTAATCCTGGTTGGTTTAAACAGTATTTCTTCGATTCACTTAGAAGGTCGTCCTTAAGTATTTGCATAGCATGGTTTCTAGGGATGCTACTGAAAGGTTCTGGTCCCATTTGTTGCCCCTGTGCCTAATTCATCAGCTTTCTCGTTGCCGATTATCCCTGAATGACCTGGTACCCATTTAAGAATAACTTTATTCTTTTGACTCGAGTTACTCAGTTTATCAATGCACTCTTTCACCAATTTCGAGCATGTCGTGTTCGAGTTGAAGGCGTTAAGCGCTGCTTGGCTATCTGAAAAGATATATATGGCCTGGTTTGTGTAGTTTCGTTGACGATTGCCATCTGCACATTCTATGATGCCATATACTTCTGCCTGGAATATAGTAGCGTGTTTTCTGAGATTCACGCTTTTGTTGAATCGCGGCCTTTCGCCGTATATTCCTCATCCTACATTATGACCCATTTTGAAGCCATCTGTTAACCAGATTAGACTTCC